AAGTAAATTGACAAGAGATAACTATCTGTTTAGTGGGAAGAGAATCTTGGGCAGCCTTCCTAAATGCTTCTTGCTTGTCTGACGACTGACTCTCAGCTGCTGTCACTTCTATACTTGGTGTCTGAATGTGTGGAGCTGAAACTTTCTTCACTGTCTGCCCATCTCTGCCCATCTCTCTCTGCGGGATGAAATGTTGCTCAGTTTGGAAATGCTATATATACAGGATAAATCATTTTGAGATTCTTTCATATTTAAGTCAACTTTGCAAGAATAACAGCTGCTCATGAAGCTGTATCAGGGATCATTCAGATGGGATGTTAGGAAAAACCTTAACTGAGAGGGTGGCTGGGTGCTGGAGCTCGCTCCCAGAGGCAGAGGTCATGGCACCAAGCTGCCAGAGTTCAGCAAGCATTTGGACAGTGTTGTCAGGCATAGGGTTTTAGGTTGTTTTCTGTGCTGCCAGAAGTTGGGCTGATAGATCCTTGTGAGTCCCTTCCAACTCACAACGTTCTATGATGCCATGATTAAATGGGTAAAGAAACAGATGAGCTTTCTAGGGATAATTGTCTTTTAGTAGTGGAAGCTGTTGAGGAATTGATATTTTTAAGGATTAATACCTACTTTTCTGTGTGTTTTTCTTGGAACCTAGGCTTTCGTACAGCTGGGTTTTCTAAATTTCAAATTGAGTGTAGATGTTTATTTCAGCGTGCACTTAGTTTTGGCATGAGGTTTTATATTGTGGTGTACTACATTTAATGTAAAAACTTATGTTCTGTGTTTGTTTTTAGTGCAGTGCAAGTCTCCACAGAACATAAGAAAAGACTTCAGCAGTTCTTGGAATATAAAGAATAAATATCAGATTTTGATGCAGCTACAATTTGGTGCTTCTGGTAAGAAGAAAGTGGGACTACTGAGCCTTTTTTTAATCTTGTATTGTTGAAAAAACATGTGGAAGCACAAGTTGCAGAATGAAACTCTTACAATTGTAGAAAATCTCTTCCAGTTTCAGAAGAGTTCATCTTTTGTATAATAAAATGTCTTAAAACTCATCTTGCCTTCCTTTAATATCACTTACATTTGAGAAAGTGTCAGTTCTTGTAAGACTGTGACATTTGAGATTATCCGACTTACTCTCCCATTTAGATTCTTCACTGTTTTTCCCTCATATATTCTTTCCCTGCTTTTCCTGATGAAGGGCTGAGTGGAGATTTACATAGATACTTAATGTCCCTGAGTGTTTCATAAATTTAGCTGCTAACACTTTCAGCTCAGATGAAGCGTGTACTTTAAGAACAAGAAACAGATGTGCCAAGGAATAAAACATGCTACTCTCCTGTAGGATGGAAATGTTCCTTCTGAGCAAAATGGGTACGTAGAAAGTTATTGGTAAGACAAAATACTACTTGAAATTATCAGCATGGATTTTATTGTCTTCAGGGTGACTTGGGAAACAAGTTCTGATCTATACAGAAACATACAGGAAGCATTACTGTATTTGGTTAAAAACTGCAGGTAGTGATATTGTGCATGAAAGATTGGATCAGCAGCTTTCTGTTAAGGTGGATATGAAGGGTCTTTGCAACATATCCACCTTTTTGAAGGTAATGTAATTATTGGTAGCTTCTGATGAAAAGTGACTTTTTTAAAAGCATCTTCTGAACCTTTTATTTGCAAGCAGACCTGTCCAAATAGTTTGAAAAATGAACTGTCCCATTTTTAAACTGACTCCAGTTACTGTGATATCTACAGAAGAAAACTTATACAGTATGTGAAGTGCTGAGGTGTAGCAATACTTTTATCTCCAGGAAATCAGAATAAGGTAAACTAAATTGTCTAAATTCAGTACAATGAGGGGAAAGAACGTTTGGACCTTCCTTCTTCTGTTCTTTACAGTGCTGTTAGTCCTGTGAATTTTGCGGTAGAACTGAAGATTTGAAGATGATCAGGATGTCATTACAGTGGTGTGGTGAAACAGCTGGCTCACAGAGCAGCTGTGCAGTAATAATTGCTTAGCAAGGGCTGGTAAGGTTTAGGAAGAGAGGAAAAGCCCAAATCTAGTGTGAGACCTGCATATTAGTTTCCCATTAAGAAGGCATTTAATTTTCTCAGCATACACAAACTGCATGTGTTAGCTTGATAGTAGTTGTTATAACTATATTGTTCCTTTTGCAGAGGTTGCTTTCAGCAAATGCCAGAAGGTGATTGACAGCCTTTCATTATTTTTTTAAGGTTAGACACAGTCTTTCAATGTTTTCCCATGCTCAACTTCTATCACAGATTTGACTGTTATGCCAAAGCCCCTTGCCTGCCTGCTTTATTAAGTAATTTGCTCTTTTGCTGGTATTACGATGTGCACCTGGAGTTAAAGTGATGCTTTAGCTCAGGTGTTAACTGTTGATCCAAATACTTTGGTTGAAAGTTTCAGATAAATTTTCCATACATTTAAGCAGGTGCAGAATGTGGGTTTTTTTATTGCTCTGGTATTTTGTGCAACACTCTCTCAACTATAAGCTTCAAGTTGTAATTAACAGTGTTATGGCTGCCAGCAGGAGGGTTAAAATGCGGACTTCTTTTTGATGCCAAAGTGCTTGATGTCATGTGCAAATCTCTGCTACAACACAAGGTGGACAGACATCTGCTAATGTGCTTTTGATTTGTAGAATTCTCAGTGTTTGACAGAAGAGCTTTCAAAAGCTGATTGCTTTGTAGTTTCTTTAAAAGCTACAATTCTTAAAGAGCTGTAGAGCTTTTCTTTTTAAGCCTTAAGTGAATCTTAAATAGTATCTTGTGTGAGTGTACAAGAATATCAAGTGTATGTGGAGTGCCCTCTGAAGGTGCAGTAACTGACTTACAGAACTCAAACAGGGGTAACACCACATTTTAGTTTAGTGTTTGGTAATAATGTTATTCCTTTGGCAAGCTGTGTTGGTGTTTCATGTCTTATACTCTTATATACTACTTAATGTCTTAATGTAAAAATAATCACTGTGAAATTTCTGTGAGGTATGGAGAGTCTGTTGGGTTCATTTCTGTATTCTGGGTAATGAGGAAAATTATAAGGGTTTTTTTTTTTTTACAGTTTTCTTCTTTGTGACTGCAGTTAAACCTGCTCCCTCAAGCCTCATAATGTTTCTCATCTGTTTAATCATCTCTAAGCTGAGCTGCACCTTCTTACTGGATCGCATATTGCAGGCACAAGTGAAACTGATAGCATTTGGTTTGATTGCTCTTCTGGCAGCCTTGTGAACTACCAGCCTCTCCCTGCAGATTAACTATAGTCAGGAACATCTGAAATTATTTTCACCACAGCTGCAGAGAGGTGGGCAGTTGATTGTTCAGATCTGCTTGTCTGTTGTAACTGAGTAATAGAATGCTACAAATGAGTAATTGGAGACTTTAGTTCTTAAGCAGCCCCTTATATATCTGATCAAAACCCAATCCTGCTTCCTTTTCTGAGACATGACAGAAAACTGGGAGTGTACAAACACAGTGATCCCACTCCTTGAAACTTCTATATGCCCCTGTATCTGAGGGAACTGTGCAGGACTTGCTCTCTCAACACACACTGCCCATTTGGATGACTGTCTTGATGCCAATTGCTGCTCGGGGCCTGAATGCACCCTTCAAATGAAGTGGTTGTAATTCTGTTGCTGCTTGCATTGAACAGAGGCTGTATTGTATGTACTACTCCTGGTATCTTCAGGCCTGAAGCAGCCCTCTTCCTGCCTACTGGGAAACATTTTTAGCTCTTTGGTTGAGGCAGGCATCTCTGCAGATGTATCCAGCTGCAACTGTGGAAGCATCAGCCTCTTGCACATGATAAATAGGTACCAGCAAATTAATCAGCAAATTATGCAGCCTTGACTGCATGCTCACCAGATTTCCCTCAGCTTCTGAAATTGGCCACGTGCTCTTCCTGGGGAGGGCTCGATGCTTTCAGTGTGCATGAGGAAGACAGTCCAGCTGTAAGCAGGGTGCCCTGGGAGCACCCTCAGCTTAGGAGATGCTTTTTGTTGTGTGCAGTTCCCTTTCTTCAGAGTAAATGCTGGCAGCCTGTGGGGCTTTGCATGTTCAGGCAGGCTTCTGGTATTGTATGGCTTCATCTGCTCACAACAAACATGGTCCAGTTGCTCCTATTTCCTCCTTTCTACGAAGATGTGATGGAAAGATGAGGGTCTGAGCAGAATCATCACAAATGCTGCAGGTTGAGGATGCCTCCCAGTACCTGTGTATATTCCTCCCCTATAGTCTGATATTTTACGTAAGCATTGGTGTTCACATATTTGTTATATGGACTAAATGTGCTCGGGTGCTGTGGATGTACATGGAGTGTGCTCTGTCAAGAGAAGTAGAGAGATGTTCCTACATCAGAATATTGCTCCCCCTTGCTGCTGCTGTGGGACTGTAGGGATTTGCATCTGGTGGCAGACCAGCTTTAGACAAACCTATAGTATAAATAAGCAGTGCAGCTCCCTCGTGTCTGAGAGAACGGGCTGTGAGAGAGGGAATAAAACCTACACTGTACTCTGATTCCAGGAAACAAAAAATGAATTGGGAAAGATCTCACCTTTCTGCCTTTGCAAAAAGTAAAACAAAAACTAACCCTCAGGACTACAGCAGAGCTAGTCAGACAGGAGCTAGCCTCTGAAGTGTAGCATGAGATAAAAAACAAACTCAAGGGGGAAAGGTTCCCTGGGTGGCCTGCTGGATATACTAACTGATTCTTCTGATAGGTGGTGATGGGATAGGAGTTCTCTCTTTTATTTTTTTAATTTTAATCTCTGTGAAGTGTAAATCAGTTTCAGTGGTAGGATGAATTTCAGAGAAAGCTGTGGCCTGAGCAGCATGTGTACGTGTTTGTGCAGTCATCAAAGGAGCTAAGTGCTGAGTGAATAGTGAATCCTGCTCCCTCCCCTGCCCAAAAAAATGCACCAGCTTTGCCTGTTGCTTCTTGAATAACTACTTTTGTATGTGAAATGGTTTGTCCTTTTCTTTATCACAGAGATACTGTGCAGCACTTCTGCTCTTCTCGGGTGGCCGCTATCTGTGAGATGTCCGTACTTCATTTGAGGCATCAAGGGTTGAATTTAACAGATGGAGGTGGAAATATACTCTACTACTAAATAACCTGGAGTGAGGTGATGGTGGAGGGAAGCAGCCATTGGCACAAGCTACGTTCTGAAACTGAAGGGATGCTTTTAGCTCGTGGACCTCTGTTGTGCAGTGGGGCTTAGTCTTACCCACCGTGTCACGTCATGACGATAACCAAGTCTTTGCAAATCAGTAGGCTGCAGTAGTGGTGGGCACCACAAATGCCCCGGAGAAAACAAATAATTCTGTATTCTGTGCAGGATTTGGCTGGTGTGCAGTAAACATTCAATGTGTGGTCCAAACACATTGCCAGTAAAGAAAAGTCAGAAGTGACTAGCTGCCCATTCAGCAATCTCTATCTTCAGTGCATTGAATATATGGATCCCCAGGCAAAACGACAAAGTGACTGTGGGGCCACGTTCTAAGCCAGTGTTATAATTCACTTACAGGAGGCGTGAACTGAAGTTGTACCAGTAATTCTAGTTCTGGCATGTCCTAACTGCTAAGGATTGGATTAGGATTTTACAAGCTGAACATTTTCAAGTTGTGCTGGCCTGTTTGACTGCTTGTTTAGGACTTGAATTTATTTTATTGCCCATGTTCCCTACGCATAATGTGAGAGATTAATCTATTTTTGAGCTGATGCAGAGGAATAATACCAATAGATGCTTGGGCCAGCTAATTGCAGGTGTAAACAACAATGTCCTGAATGGAAGTGAACCAAACCCTTATTTAGAAGTGTATGGTTTTTGGTTTTTTCCTCATTTTCTAGAAATGCTCTAGAATGACCTGCCAATTAACTGGGAAGGCAGGAAGCAGGGAAAGATCTGTAGCGTTATGGTGGCTTTTGGAGATGCTGATCAATTCTTGCAGACTCTGCAAGACAAAGGTGGGCTCTAGCTTATTGTATGACTTTCCCAAATATGCTAGTTATTGAAATGAGACTTCTTTTTTAAAAGATGAGTTGCACTGATCTGAGGAACATCTTTCTTCTAACTACCAGAGCTATAAACAAATCTGTAAGTTATGAGGCAACAGCTGAGTACATGGCTACATACTGTGTGGTCAGTTTGACCCTGCTGTCTTAATTTAAGAGGTCACTTTAAAACCACTATAAAGAAAGGCTTTGTGCTGCCTTAAAGGGATATGGGCAATCTCTAAGAAACGGGCATACTTGCAGAGACAATCCCTTTGGCTCAGTTTTTGTTTGGCTGTTTTTTTTTACTATCTGTGGTGCAGTAAATTAAAACAAAAACAAGTCTGGACTTGGCATGCCTTTGTAAATAAAACGCTGTGTGTGAATCGACAGCTTGTTTGCAACCAGTTTATTTATAACAAAGTTTTTTATTTCTCCCACTAGAGAGGTTGTTTTGCTGTATATTAACAGAATGCCTATGGTTGCTGAAGCAGTTAGACAAAAGGCCTCACAATTTCAGTTGCGTCCCTTTGAAAGAAAATGAGCAAAAATTTAATTTTGTTCCCTCTTGGAGTAGAAGCAGGGATTGCAGCACATGAACTAAAGATTAATACTTCAACTCACGTTGTTTGCACTGCACAGCTCACCTTACATGCAACTGTTCTGCTTCATTCCTCTCCTACTGCAGAAAAACTACTCAGGGAACTGGAGTTCTCAGCTTCTTGGAGTTTCTTCTTTCTGCAGCATGACCTTTTGTGCACACTCAGGCCAGTAATGCTGACTGTACTGTGGTGGTGCCCAGTTTCTGTGGCTAATACAGTCCACTAGCTGCTTTTGGTGTGAGTGCCTTGTTTTTGGCATCTGGTGATGGGAAACATGAGGGCAGGAAACTTTCTCATGGCTGCTTGGTGTTTCAGTGACAAGGACCCAGGTCAGCACGCTGGCTGTGGTCTGGCTTTTTCTTGGTTCACATGAGGTAAGATTTCAGTCCAGCTGGAGATAGAGTTAGCTTTCTCTTTCCTTAGCCACCAAGTAGAAGTGAGTGGATCGATGAGCAAGTCTCTTGTTATTTATCACTTCTATCCTATTCATAACCTAGAGAGGAAATTCAGGCTAGCAGTTGTGTTCCCTGGAAAGTTTTAGCCGAAATTGCAATTTTATATCTGACTAAAAATGGAACAAATCCTGGGGACAAGCTTCAGAAGCCAAGGATGCCCCACTTGCCCGAACTGGAAGATCTGCTTCAGTGATGAAGACTTCTTGAGAAAGGGAAGAGGCAACTGGCATAGCTGTGATCTCTTGATAAGCTATGATCCATTACCACAGTCCTCAGCAATGAGGAATGAGAAACAAGGCTAAATATAGAGCAATCACCCGTGTCATTCTATTAAGAGGGAGGATATTGATGTCATGGGGAACAGGCCAGTGACTGATTTTTCACAAGGACACAGAGGGGAGACACCCCTCTAGCTCATGGATGTAGTTGACAACATGGAGTGAATCAGTATTTGCTGCAGAGCTCATGCATTCAGCTAAGTCATGGTGACCCAGGGCATAAAGCAGTCTGAGCAGTGACTGCACTTGTTTGGCCTTTGTTCCAGAACCAGAACATATGAAGCATCCTCTGATTCAGTTGGGGGAGAGAGGGAACTGCTTAACTCTTTCATAGCACAGTGACTCAAGAGGCACTTGTTCTTCCCAGCCACATCTGTGGCACTGCTGGAGGAGCCAAGTTGTTGCTTTGGAAGCACTTTGGGCATCCCACCTCTGCTGGGCACAGCTGGGTCTGGGGCAGGGTGTGCAGCCACCTCCTGCTTTGCCTGCTTGGACCCAGGGATGGGCAGCCCTAGCTGGATGCCTGGATACAGCTGAGAATTTATTTATTTTTAATTCCCCTTGAAAGCTGAGCAAGTAATGGTGTGAGAGATTGTTTGAGTGCATGGGGCATCATTTCCTGCTGTGCTTCATAGAATTGCAGGTACCTGCAGCTTGAGCTACAGCATCTACATCTCCATGGGATAATCTGCAGTGGATAATCAGCTGGCTGTGGAGGGCCTTAGTGCAAGGTGCTGCCGAAGCTGGGAGCTGCGATGTGCTTTGCCCCCAGCCCCTCCTCACCATCTACGGGGAAAAAAGCCTACTTTTCGCCTGGGTTATTGCTGAGCCAGTGGCGGCACCTGCCGGCGTTCTGCAGGATGTTCAGGGGAAGGGTGAGAGCCAGAACCTGCACTTCGGAGCTGGGTGAGCGTGGCATGAGGTAAGAAACCCAGAATTAGGCAGGTTAATGAGGTCAGAGGTGTTAAGTGATGTTCCTTTTCGTGCTTTCCAAGAAAGAAAATCCGTCTAGGAAGTGATACGATATATCCAGTGCTACCTGTTTTCTAGGAAAGAATCTCTAGACAGTGCATATTGATGTGGTTGGTCTGCACAAGCTGAAGCTGTGCTCAGGATCCAGCCAGACTCTAGGCTTTGCTTTGCTGGAAGCAGTGGATTACCCTGGTTACACTGCGTTCTGGAACAGTATTTCCCTCAATAAATTTTATTGCCTCTTCACATGTAATTGAGGCTCAGGCAGTTAGTGCAGTGTATTTCTGTCTTACACAATTATTGTTTCTGGTAGCACTGCCAGGTGACGTGAGCATTTCCAAACTGAAGAAGAAGAGCTGTTCCATATTGCGGGCCTTACGGACTGATGGGACAGGGATGGATAAAGGTGAGCAGAGCACTTGGATGCAGAGCTGCTCTGTGCAGAGGGGTAATGTAGGCTAAAAGTTTTACTTTCTTCACAGGACATAACTGCTGAAATTCAGTGTTCGTGACTGGTTGCTACTTTTGCTTCCTGTAGAGGTGGGAATTTTTCCCTTTTCATAACGTGTTTCTACAAATGTATCCTGAGAACATGAAGCAGTTTTCAACTAAATTTGACAGAGCTGGTAAGTTTGGCAATTTCAGAAAAAAAGACCCCTACGGGGGAAGGCTGGCATGTTCTTCATTTGGTAGAACCCGGGGCTTCTGTGCAGAGCAGGACAGGGGAGAGAGACCGTCTATGGGATTTCATTGGTACCGCTGCTCTCAGAACGGCATGTTCTTCTCTGCATCTCGTGTCTGTTGGGGAGGGCTGCCTCCCTCACACCAAATGTACAACATTCAGTGTATCTGCCAAAAAAAAAAAGTCATGGCCTCCTCTCCTGACCTTTCCTTTAATCTAGGGGATAGTGTATGTTTTTAAGGTGATAGACAAAACTGAGCGATGTGCACTGGGTGGTGTCTGTGTTCTAATTGCAGGGTGTTCCTCAGGAAGGGCACAGTGTGCTGCCACCTCCATAGCTGTCCTTGCGCTATGTGTTCCGAGCCTTCCTTTCAGGCTGTGAACAGGAAAGGTTTCCAACCTGCTGCCTAGTTGCAGCAGGTTCGAACACCCTGAGCCAGCAGCGCGTCTCCGAGCAGAGCAAAGCTGCTCCTCGTGGCTCAGCCTGCGCTTCTTTGGAACGAGGCCCGAGCTCATAAAGCCCGTTAGATTGCTTCCAGATCTGCGCTGGGCCGCGAAGAGCCAGAGCAAATGTCACCGCTCCATGCGGCGCGCTCAGAGCCGGCAGCGGGGCGGGAAGGTGATGCGGCACGACCGTACCTCGCTCCTCCCGCCGCCCGGCCGCTGCTCCTCGGCAGTGCCGGACCCGGCGCGGGGTGCCCGGGCCCGCGGGCGGCCCCCGCTCCCCGCCGCGCCGCTGTCAAAGCCCCGAGGGGCGGCCCCAGCGGCACAGCCCTCCCCCTGCCCGCCCCGACCGGCCCGAGCGAAGGGCCGGCCCCGCCGCCGCGCCGGGCTAATGGCCCGGGCCGCCTTCCTTCGGGCGGCCGGCGGGGCGGCGCGGCCGAGCCCGTGAGCCCATGAGCCCGGCGCGGCGGCGGCGGCGGCAGGACGGGGCTGGGGGGCGGCCCCTCCCAGGTAGGAGCGCGGGGCGGCGCCCCCTCGTGCCGGTTCCCCCCCGCGGTGCGAGCGCACGCGCCGCGTTGCCGGGGCGGCCGCCGTTCGGGTGCCCCGCGGCGGCTTCGCGAAGCCCGACGGCGTTGCCTGGGGACGGAGGGGGAGCGAACGCTGCGTGACGCGCGGCTCCTCCGCTTCTGCTCCTCCGAGCGGCTGGGCGCGAGGCGGGGGCTGCAGTTCGCGCGGGGCCGCCTCGCGCCCCGGGTAACGGTACTTAACGGGCGCCGGCGGCTCGCGGGCCGGGGCAGCGCTGAGGGAACGGAGCGGCTGACGGCGCGTGTGCGCGCGTGTGCGTGTGTGTGTGTGTGTGTGTGTGTGTACGTGTGTGTGTACGTGTGTGCCCGCCCGCTGCAGGACCGGAGCGGAGCGGCCGGACGCGCACCGCGAGCCCGCGGCGGGGCGGAAAGGCGGCGCCGGTGCTTCGAGGTGACCGATAAATGCCGGAGAGCGCCTCGGAAGGAGCCGCGAGGGATTCGTCCCGGCGCCGCTAAAGCTCTCCCGAATCCTCCGATGTCCTTTAAAGTAACGGGCGGCGACGGCAGCGAGCGCCCGGAGCCGCGGCGCGGCCCCGCTGAGATGTCCGCGCCTCTGCTGGACTTCGGCCCCAAGCGGCCCAGCATCTTCGAGCGGGTCCCGGCGCTGCCCCGGGCTCAGGAGCTGCGGTGCGGCCGCGGCGCCAAGGACTGCGCGCAGCAGCAGCGGCTGCAGAGCGGGAGGGGTGAGTGAGCAGCGCGCGGCACCGCCAGCACCGCCACACGGCCGGGCTGCGCCCCGCTCCCGCTGCGCGGTTGCTTGGATTTGTAGTTCGCGTTGCACGGAGGTGTTGCAGCGCTGGGGTCGGGCGGGGGATCCTCAGAGCGCGGGTTCCCGGTGCCCGCACGGCACGGCAGGCGCTGCTGCTTGGCGATGCCTGGCGCTGCTCCGCGCGTGGGAAAGCGGCGCTGGGAGAAGTTGGGAATCGCCCGCTAAAGGCTTCTGAGCTTTTGAGCCGGGTCCTGTTCGTTGAGCTACAAGTTGTTAATCGAGGTTTACTTTAAAGCAAGCCCTCCGAGGAGCCGCTGGATGGGTTGGGAGGAAATTCAGGCATTCCTTCACGCTACGAAGCCACTTGCAGAGACATATGTGCACCTAAAGTTATTAACGTTGAGGCGGTGTTTTCTGTAGCGTTGAGGTAATTCATGCTTTTATCCTTCCGTCCCTGTCCCACTCTTCGTCTCGGAGGTGTGTGTGCTGTTACCTGCCGGGTTATTTTTTCAGCGGAACCCTTTATTTCCACTCTTCTGAAAGCTGCAGCAGGCTGTGCACCCTGGGATGGGTGCATTCTCCTTTGTGAGCTTGTTACCTGGGGTGATGGAGCCCCGCATTGTGTTAATGAGCACCTCGGTCTGCACCAACTCTGTCCTGCAGGCTGTGGGGTTTGTGTTTGTTCATCTCTGCTGAATACAGAGCGGAGCAGCAGGTTATAAATCACCTTTTCGTTATTTTGTTTGTTTGTTAGCACTGCAGTTCTCCCTTTTTCATTAAAAAAAAAAAAAAGGTTTGTTACTGTTTGGCAAGGATGAAATGGGGGACACATGGTTACACAGAACGGGGTTTGGAGGGGAGATATGGAAGGAAGGAGCATCTGCAGAGTGTGAAGGGGCGGCTCAAAGCTGTGCTGCTGCTGTGCTGCTGCCACCAGTAGAAAGAAGTCAGGAGATGTGCAGGACCCTTTGAGTCCCAGGAGGAAGGCTTTGGCTGCTTACCCACTGCCTCGTTGAGTTGTCCTCCCCAGACAGACTGTGGAAGCATTTTGGTTCTTTGTTTATTTGTTTGTTTTCTTCCAAGCTACTGACTCCTCTTTTTGTTCCTCTTGTGGCTGCTGCAGAGGGTGAGCACATAGAGGGGGGATGAAGAAAAATGTAATTTCCACTCACTTGGAACCTCACTGGGACTGATGGAGGCGGGCACTGGGAGAACGATGCAAATTTGTCTTTCCTGTCTGATCAATTCCCCCTTTTGTGCCCCTGGGGGAAAAAAAAAACAAAAACACCAAACCCTTACGTTTTGTTGCTGGTTTTTCTTTAATTCATTTTCTGTCCAGGGTGTTACCTTGTGGTTGCCTTGGCATATGGGTGGCTTGACTCATGGGAATAAGTAGGAGGTATCCATGAACAGGATTGGGCTCACTTACTGAGCGTGACGATTTGATGGATAACGTTGGATTTTTCCAAAGACAACTGTGCTGTTTGTTTGGCTTTTTTTTTTTTTTTTTCTTTTTCCCTCTCCTTCTCAGAAGATATTTTAAGGGGAAGCTGTAAAGTTTTAGGCTAAGTGCTGATCCCAAATGTGTGGGCTGTGCAGCTCCTTCTGAGCTGTACTGCATCAGCAAGTGCCTTCCTATCACTTGGGCATTTTGCAGCTCTCGCACCGAACGCTGAGAGCTGCTGGCCCCTGCTCAGCACCCCGTGCTTCTGAGCCAAGTGTGCAGCACTCAGTGCCACCGCAATAGCTGAACTCACTCAATTACTCACCGTGATCTAACTGTAAAGTCAGAGCTCTGTGTATCCAAAGGGAACTGTGCTGCCGATGGAAGGGCCGCTCATCTTCCAAGGAGTGCTGTAAACTGTCTCCTGACACCGGAGAAAATACGGAGGAAGAGCAAGGATAGCTGTATGTGCATGTCATATAACAAGATATTGCTAAGGAGTGGGAATGAGGGAAGCATTTGAATTTACCCCAGTAAAGGTTCTGAGGAGGAAGCCGATGACAGCTTGATTTCAGACCATCACGCTGTGCATCTTCTGCTCTCCAGCCCAACTGCTGCCTGCCCACCAATTCCTCCTGCAGTCTGGGTTAGATTACAGCGTGTGCCTCCTGCTTTTCCTTTATCCACAGCTGAAGGCTGCGAGTAGGGGAAGGTCCCTCTTTTTGCAAGAGCAAACGCCATTCTTACAGTTGCCTATAATTATTTTTTTTCCTAAACGTGTCTTTAATTTTTATTTTTTTTTAATTTTCAAAAAAGAATGGTACACTGCCATATTAATAACGTGAGCAGCTTTGAAGTAATCACAAGGGGGAAAAAGCATCCTGCTGTTGTAGTGTCTCTTTAGTGTTAACCCCACTGCTTCACACTGACAGAGCCTGCAAAATGTTCTGTGCCTGAGCAAGTCCTCTTACACGAGCAGCCAGAGAAGAACTTGAGGGAATGGTGGTATGGATTACTTCTGGGAATCAGATCGTTTGGTTCTGAGCTTTGTAGGATCAAGCTGTTGTTTGTTTACCACAGATATTGGTGGTTTGGAATCGTGCTTTGTATTTTGTTCTGTTTGGGAGCTGTTTATTTTAAACACCATTTTTCACCCGGCCTCCCCCTTCTGGTGTGATTGGCTGTGATGCACATCGGGCTCTTTTGGTCCTCCATCCCTGTGTGTTATGAGGCAGAGTGTTTGCACCCAGACAGTGCATCTCAGAGGAGTTTGTGGTTTGCTCAGCACCGAGTAATTGTACCAGAAGGTATGGAGTGTATTTTTATAGTGTTTTTTTTTTCCATGGTTCTGGTGTTGTTTTGTTCAATCTGGGATATTACCGTTCTGAAAGTAACAAAGAACAAAACAATTTTGTCAGTAGGAAAGAAACTTTTTGCAAAGAACTTCTGGTGACAAAGGAGCAATCTATAAAGATGTCAGATCTCTTATTTTCTTTTAATGACATTGATTACGGTTGTTACCAGGAAACACTTCTCCTTTTCATTCTTTTCCAGCTTCGTTCCGTGTATCCAATTCATGACTCAGTAGAAATGACGAGATTTACCCTGTTAGTTGTGCCACTGGGAAATGAGCCAAATGGCCCAGACCTTTGCAGTAATCACTTCAGATATTAACTTTCAGCAGGCAAAACAATAAGCTGTTCGAATTGCAGTAGCTCGATGTTTCCTTGTTGGGAGTATTCATTATTCAGGCAAGGAGAAAGCTTTCTTTTCTTTTTTAAACGCGGTTGCTTTTGGCAAGCGTACAACCAATGTACTGAAATGTATTCATTTTCTTCTGCTTTTGAAAAGGTGAGTTGAAATTTGTCATTTCAACCTCCTGTGACTGTTCCCCTGGTTAGCAGGACAGTCCTTGCCTCGGCTCAGCTCAGGCTGTTTGGATCTTAAGCAGAAGCACATGTTTTGGGGCTGTGAGTTACGAGGTGCACTGCCTGCTCCCCAGCCCGATGCTGCCGTTTGTGTTCCTTTCTTGTCCTTTCTTGCTCACCTGAATTATCCCACTGAAGCAAATGGGGCTGCCCCGTGCCGTTAGAGGCTGGGCTAATGGGAGCTGGGGAGCGGGCTGATCAGTGTGGGCATCCCTAAACTTCCCATGTTTTATCCGGAGCTGTAGCAATACGTTGGCTGTAGTTCACTTAAAAGCCTGCTTGTTGTCTTATGCCTTTGAATTCTCCTCTACAGAAGTGGATTTTGAGGTTTATTCGAATTGAGCTTGCAGTTACACATTTCCTTTTTATCTTAATTCATCAAGTGTGATCTTTTCTTAATTCCTCTGTTTTGCAGGGTGAGAAAGGACAGGAAATCAGATTGGAGAATGCATGCATAAAGTCATATGCACTCACAAGGATAACTTGTGTCTGTCCCCTCCTCTGTTAAAGTGGCCAAAATGTTGAATAGGAAAATAACTTCTGGTCGCTCACTGCTGGTAGAAGTTCTTCCAGTGATTGGTGTTACAAAATCAGTCACAGAATTGAAGGTGACCCTTTC